CCAGTGTGAGTTTTAAGCCACCGGTTCCAGGACTTGAACAGCGATCGACTACATGGGAGTCCAGCAACATAGCCATTACACCAAGTACTGGTCCCTCAGTTGATAACTTTATGCTTACTTGTATTACCTTGTTCTCTCCGGATTTATCTTGTCCTTCCCTGTTTCTTCTTTCCTTTATTTTATTTTTTTTTCTTTTTCAGACAGAGAGGAGATATTTCATATTTTCTGCTTTTTTGAGGTATGTATCTTGGCTTTTAATTTTAGAAATAGTTGTTTGTGATTTTTGTTTTATGAGACAGAAGGAGAGAGAGAGCAAGGAGCGAGAGAGAAATGCGCATTTTGGGCAGGGCCTTGCTGCATTGCAATCTTCCTGCCCCGGCCTCCCAGTCAGCCAGAACTGCAGGCTTGTACTATACTCTGCATGTTTGGCGGGCCTGGGGTTGAAACCCAGGCCTCCTGTGTGGCCGCCAGCCTCCCAAATGGTGGTACTATCTGTGAACCCCCACTGGCGAGCCTGTACTGGTAAATTTTAATATCAACTTATGAGCTAGCTTTCTCTAGTTTTTCGAGTTACGTTTTCCTGTTTGTTTTTAACCATGGAGAGCACGTGAGCACTCTGATAAAAGGGAGATGCACCCTTGACAGGAGTTCATCACAGCCCCTTTGCCCAGCCTCTGGCTCCTCGGGGTCCTGGTGCCCACGCGTGCACCTGGAGATCCAAACCTTGGTTGGTCATATGCCTTCCAGCCTGTGAGGCACTTGCACTACTGCTGCACCCCAGCGCCTGGGCCTGGAATCAATGTTGTTTTTGATTTCCCATCCCCATGCATGCCTGCACTGGCACACGTGTACTCACACACACATGCATGCACACACACCCTACACTGATTTGAGTCCTATTTCCCCATCCACTTCTTCACAGGTTAATCTGGCATTGCACATGCATCCATTTCATGGGTGTTTTCGTATTCCTAATCTTTTTTGGGGGGAATCAATTGGTTCTTTATATTGTCAATCTCATGCTCACCTCTGGTCTTGGTATAACACTGTCATTCTCCAGTGCTGGCTTTTGCTTTGTCTCAGCCAGGAGGAACACATCTGCTTGTAACTCTGTCCAGGACTGTGGATCAAGAAAAGCCACTACTACCACACATCAGCCAAATGTATGATAAGTTGCTGGCCACTCCTGTTCACTAGAACTTAAAGGGGAATGAATGAAAAACAACACGGAATAATAGAATAAATATAGAAATGCCCTTCGTATGTTTTTAAAAAGAAAAATTTAAAGAAAAATTTTTAGGAAAGACTTGCCCTAAAAAATGCTATGAGAATATGGCATCCCAAGAGTGGAATACCTCGAAATGACTCAGGAAGCCAGGGGCACTGGAGCTGACCCAGTAGATGTGGACTCTAGCAAAGGAAGAGGGGCAGTGTTTTAGGTACCTGAGGACGTCGGAGTACTGAGGGGCTAAAATGAGGGCCCCGTGGTAGCGCAGTGGTGGTGCACTGGGCCTCTGGGGGAAGGCCCTGGGTCCCTGCCCTGGGCCCTCACTGAGCATGCTGGGTGTGCTCATGCCCATGAGCCAAGCTTTCTGGGACTGGGGTGCATTGCAGAGCGAGGTCCCTGCTGGGGGTGGCTGCTTCCTCGCTCTCATCTCCCTCTCTCTCACTGAAGAAATAAAATAAACAAACTTTAAAAAATTATTTTTAAGGTACAGAATATAGAAGGTATTACAGAACAATATCTATTCGGTAATCTTTTTCTTCTTCACTTCTGGGTTTAAAAAGTTATTTTCTACCTCTAATATGTTTAAAACGGAACACAGTTTCTTGGCAAAAGATACTATGAAAACGTTAAGAGACAAGCATGACCAGGGAAAAACATTTTCAATGTATCTGACATAAAAGCATATTTAATATATAAAGATATGTCTCAGGGCTATTAGATGGCATGGTGGTTAAAGTGCTAGACTCACACATGGCACATGGCAGTTCAAGTCACATGGCAGTTCAAGTCCCAGACCCAGTGGCTTGAAATCATGACAGGGGGACCAGCGGTTGGCATAATGGCTATGTTGCTGGATTCCCATGTAGTCGACCGCAGTTCTAGTCCTGGACCTGGTGGCTTAAACTCATGCCAGGCGCGTGTATGTGTATGCCCAGGATCCTGAGAGGAGACTGGAGGAGAAGGGATTGCAGCGTGGCCATCCCCTCCAGGGGGTGATTTCTCGCTTTCTGTCTCTCTGTCTCTGTTTTTCTGACACGAGCACGCGCCCTATAGCAAAAACCTCTCAAAAAAAAAAAGAGAGAGAGAGAGAGAGAAAGACAAGAAAATCATGACAGGTGTATGTGTACGTGCCCAAAATCCTGGAAGGAGAACAGAGGAGAAGGGACTGCAGCATGGCCATCCACCCATCCACCCCTGCCCCGGGGGGTTGATTCCTCACTCCCCCTCTCACTATTTTCCTCTTCCCTTCTTTGACAAGTGCACATACATTATGGCAAAAACCTAAAAAAGGGGGAAAAAAAGGCATGTCTCAAATCGAGAGGAAAAAATAATGAATATGCATAGAAGAAGAAAGTGGACCAAGGACGATGCTCCCATTATAGGAAGGTGCAGGGTGGTGGTCACTGTCCTGCTGTGGTATGTGTGGGCTCCCTCGACAGCATCCACGCACCTGGGCACCCCGGGGTCTCTCCCACAGGGCAGCGTCCACACACCTGGGCACCCCGGGATCTCACCCACAGAGCAGTGTCCACATGCCTGGGCACCCCGGGGTCTAACCCACAGGGACACATCTCAGGTGGGCAAAGGGATAGAGGTTCTTTGCAACATCATTTTTAACAGTAGGAGGGCGAGTGTAAGTGCGCATGTGGAGAAGAGATTAAATCCACTCTGCTCACTCAGACAAAGGCACATCACAAGCCCTCTAAAGAGAAGATGGTGTTAGAGAAATTGATTTCAGCGACATCCAGAAGATACAAAACACTCAATGTGATTGCACTTGGCTAAAAGAGAAACACACACAAAGAAAAATGGGAACATTAATTTCCTATTGTTACACTAACAAATTGCCACCAATGTGGTGACTTAATTTATGACCTTGCAGTCTGGAGGTCAGAGCCAGAGGCTGAAGCTGGGTGTCAGGGGGGCCATGTCTTCGGGAGGTGTGGGGGAGAACCGCTGCCTTGCCTCTGCCGGCTCCCGGTGGGCCACCCTCAGCCGCAGAACTCCACCCTCTGCCTGCTTCCCCTGTGGCGTGGCTGCTCCGCTGACCCCGACCTCCGCCTGGAGAACCCCTGCGATGATAGTGGCCCACCTGAGAGCCTGCTTTTTCCATGTCCTTCATTAGTCCCATCTGCAAACCCCCTTTTCCACATAGGTTCCAGAGATGAGGACAAGGACATACTTGGGGCCCTGACTCAGGTGATCACATTTAGGAAGAAGTACATAGATGAGCCAGTGGCTGCCTTAGAGATGAGAGATCTGGAATTGGGAGAGGGGATGAAGTTTATGTCTTCCATGAGAGAGAGAGAGAGAACCCCTGACCAAGTGCTGACACCACAATTCTCTCCTTTCTCAGCTAGCCCTGGTCACAGGCACATGTGTGCTGGCATGTGCAGGGGCTTCCCAGTGGCACGTGCTAGTGTTTGCAGGGGCCTCACAGTGGCATGTGCTGGCGTGTGCAGGGGCCCTCTCAGTGGCATATGCTGGTGTGTGCAGAGGCCTCCCGGTGGCATGTGCTGGTGTTTTCAGGGACCTCACAGTGGCGTGTGCTGGCGTGTGTGGGGGCCCTCCCAGTGGCATATGCTGGTGTGTGCAGAGGCCTCCTGGTGGCATGTGCTGGCGTGTGCAGGGGCCTCCCAGTGGGAATCCAGAACCTGGCCATGGGGTCAACCTCACAGAGCACTGCGTTTACCACTGCGTCCACCTGGTGTTTGGGAAGGGCACCTTAAACACTCTTTCTGGGTCCTCTCTCTCGCTATCTCTCTCTTCTGGGTCCTCTCTCTCGCTCTCTCTCTCTTTCTCGCTTTAATAAGCTCACATTATCTTTCCAACTGAAAATCCAAAACTATAAAAGGAATAGAAAACCGTGGTGCCTTCAGGCAAAGATCTCTCAGCCTCTCCAAACATCGATGCAGACAGCCCTGCATTTGGTCCCAGAGAGGGGGAGAGCTAGAGGAAAGGCAGGCACTCCTCTGAGCCGGTGGTGGGTGCGTAAGGGAGTGTGAGTGAATGTATGAGAGGGTATACATGAACATGTGTGTGCAAGTGTGTGGGTAAGTGTAACTGTGTGCAGGTGATGATATTTGTGGATTTGATTGTTAGTATGAATGACCATGTGCGGAGGGGCGTGAGTGTTCGTGTGTGTGTGAAGGTAACTTAAAAAGTTCATAGAAAAGTGGAATCAAGACATGAGTTTTTCTGGTGGGAAATATTTTGAAATCCATGTGTAGTTTTAGAACACGCATTTTTCATGAAATTTTTGAAGACCCTCCTGTGTTGGAGGGTGGGAGTTGTGCATGGAGAACAGGAGGAAATAGCTCCACTTAAGAAGCGTCTTACTTTCTGAAGTTTATTTATTTATTTCACCCCATCAGGGTCCTCACGCCACAGCCCTCCCCCCAGCCCTGCAGCCAGACTGGGTAGAGCCCGTGTCTAAGGGTGCCGAAGGCCTCCCGCCTGCAAGGGTGCCGAAGGCCTCCAGCCTGCAGCTCTATGTGGGGCCCCTCTAGCATGGCCCCCCACCTGAGCCACCGTGGCCGAGCCTCTAAGAGTTTTATGTTTTACAAAGCTGAAGTAGTGAAGGGACAATAATTGCATACCGAATGATCCCAAACAATCGCAGCTTTGGGCTAAGGTCTTTACACAGTGCCTGACTGACCCTCCATAGCTCACAAGGCAGCTCCCCCACTTCCCCACACAGAAGAATGAGGCTGGGGGTGAAAGACGCTTCCCAGGACCTCAGACGTGGGCGGTCTGAGCCCAAAGTCGGTTCCTTGCCACTCTGCAGCCATGCCCGCTGGGTGTTGGCTGTGCACTCTCCAGCCCTTGTCACTCTGCGGCAGGCGCTGTCCTCGCCCCTGGCTGCTCAGCTGTGCGGTGTGCGCTAACCAACGCTATCTTCAGCGATGGGCGAGCTTGAGCCGAAGCGCTTTCAACTCTTCCTTAATCCCAGCTGTGAGGCTGTGTGATCTGTTTTTAAATGTGCTCATGTAGAGTAGTAATTCTCCTGAACTTGGTCTTTTCAAACCTATCTCGCTGAGGTGCTTTGTAGAATGCGTGATGCCCTTTTATCGCGTGTGCCGGTGGAAGACCGTGGCGCTGTCCTCGGTGCTGAAACACCTGAGAATGGTCTGCTCTTCTAAAGGTGGTGGCAACAGCAAGGGACTACTTTCAGCTTATGATCTGGGATTCACAGAAAAGAAAAGACAATGTCTATCCTCCTGGAAAAAAAACTTGGTCATTTGCTGGCTTAAATTTTGTTCACCTCGGCTCTCTGTGGGTGCTCAAAGATTTGAGCAGGGCAGTTGGCATCAGGAGGGCCCAGAGGAAGGTTTGAAGAGGCCCTGGCCTATGGGAGCCTTCTAACCTGCACAGTGGCCTTGTCACAAGGATAGTGCCAAGAGCCACTGAGCCCTGAGACTCAGATTTTCCTGCCCCATGAACATAGAGGCTTGGTTATGACTCTGGCTGAGAGCAAGCAATGGAGGCGCTGGACAGTGTGGCCTTCACAAACTAGAAGTGGAACAGTGAGAGCAGCTGCAGCCTGGCTGTTGAACACACCTGTCCAGGTGACCTGGCCTTGGGGCTAATAGGAGCAGGCACAGCTGGCTGGCTCGAGGACAGAAAGGAATTCCTAACAAAATTACTTGGCCAAGAAGACATTCCAGGTGTCCCTCCCTGCTGCACATACTACCAGGAAATTTTAAAAATTCCTGGGTGAAAACCACAAGTCATCTGCCTGCTCTTCACACCGTTCTGTGGTACACCCTGTTACGGTGGCCCGAGCTCACTAGTGCAGCCTCTCAGGTGCTCCTTACTTCCTGCTCATCAAGTCCGGCCTGCATAATCCCAGCAGGGTGGAGGGCAGGTGTGACAGTTCACAGGATGTCAAAGTAATCAGGGTCTCTGTAATCTAGATGGCAAAGAGAAAGGAGGAGAACGTGACTCTGAGATGATGACAGGCATGTTTTTGGTCCTTCTGGGTAGAAGTGAATGTGCCTGGTACTCACAAATTAGAAAAGAAAAGAAAAGCATTTATCAGATCAATAGCTGCATCGAATACCAGGAGCCGTGCTGTTATTTCCCAGTAAGGGTAGCATGTGTAAGAGGGCAGCTGCTATTGGGGTCACCATCTAATTAAGTGGACGGTGATCTGGAGCCCAGGTACCTTAGGAGAAGTCCCTGTAGGTACGTTGCATGGGCATGTAATAATCTTTCAGGCTACTCAGAAAGACTAGCTTCGCCCCCGTTTGCCGCATGGCCACTCTTACAGCTCTCAAGTCCCTGATGATTACACAGTCCCTGCCGTCCACCCACGGATGTGCTATTGCTGTGAGTTTATGGTCCTAGCAAGATTAGGGATGTCACCTTGTTCCCTCTTACAGTGCTAACTCTTATTTTAAACACCAGGAAACCAAGTGCATAGTCTTCCAGTTCCCAGCTGGGCCTATTTAAATTATTGTCAAGCACTTGAAAAATAACAGCAAAATAGGTCCATGGGCCAACTGGATCCACTGTGGGACTTAGGCCAAACCTCATTTGTTGTTGAACCGACATAAGCATTCTCGGACTGGTGAAACACAATGGCATTATTACTTCTGTGAATGGAGCATCAACTCAGAGCCATTGTCTATTGATGCTCATAAGTCTGAGCATTTCCCTTCCCCTTCTGCACATTTGTCCAGCTAGGTAGTTATTGGTCCTTTGGCGCATTCTGGGAGAAAGTTTTGTGAATGTATCTGTGGCAATGGTGCAGGTCCTTGGTTGTGTTCAACGCCGTCTTCCACCTTAGACTCTAAGCTCCATAAACACAGGGACCTACTTGCTGAGCCCACTGCCAGTCCCTGACGCAGAGAGGGCACGTGAACACTAACTGAGTGAATGAATGAACCAGGGGCAGGCTGAGGGGAAGGAATGGGCGCAGTGCGGGGCCCAGCTCACACATAGTTTGGGACCAGACATCAGTACTCACAGAGCGTCCTGGCCCCAGCTTCCTGCTTTCTGCCCCAGGATCCCCACATGGTGGCAACTGGACAGGACCAGACTGCAGTAGTTCAGAGTGCCGAGTCTTGGCCTCTCAGGCTCTTTTACCCAGAGGCCTGTGCTTTCCTCCTGCTTGCTCTGCTAGTCTCTACCTCCAGGTTTCGGCATGTCTCAGCTCTAAGGATGGACCTGCACTGAACACAGAAAGGGTGGGAGAAGCACGAGCCCAGTCTCGGACATTTGCTTGAGTCTGCACACATGCCCTTGTGTGTACCAAGCCTCAGGCCTTCCTAAATAGATGGTATTTTGATGGTAAGAGTTCTACTTGCCACCATTACCTACATATTCACCTTGATAGGCCCTTCTCCCTCACTCTTGTCAGGAACCTTTTTAACAAAATTCCCTGACAGTGGGACTGGCAGGTGGCTTGGTGGTTAGGGTGCTGGACTCCCACATGGCTGACTATAATTAGAGTCCTGGACCTGGTGGCTTCCTTTCTTATTTTCCCACTCCCTCTGGTCAAATGAAACTAACTAACTAAATAACTAACTAAATAAATAAGAGACTAGCAGTTGGCATAATGGCTACGTCACTGGACTCCCATGTATCGTTGGACTCCCATGTAGTTGACCATGGTTTGAGTCCTGGACCTGGTGGGTTGAAACTCACACCAGGTGCATGTGCGTGTGTGCCCAAGATCCTGGGAGAAGATCTGGGTGGTGATTTCTTATTTTCTGTCTCTCTCTCTCTCTGTCTTTCTGGCAAGCACATGTGCCCTATAGCAAAAACCTCTCCAAAAAATAAATAAATAAAATTAATTAATTAGTTAATTAATTTAAAAAATAAAAAAATAAATAGACAAATGGACCAGCAGATGGCATAATGGTTACGTAACTGGACTCTCATGTAGTTAAGTGGTTTGAGTCCTGGACCAAGGGACTTGAAACTCATGCTGAGCATGTGTATGTGTGCCCAAAATCCCAAGAGGAGAATGGAGGAGAAGGATTTGCGGCAAGGTCATCTCCCCAGGGAGGGCGATTTCTCACTGTCTCTTTGTCTCTCTGGTGAGCACGCCCTGTAGCAAAAATCTCTCTTAAAAATAAATAAATAAATAAATAAATAATTTTTAGGAAAGTTCCCTGGTGGTTAGATGTTTTAATCTGTTTCGTTTTGCTTCTTTTTTTTTTCGGTAATAGTTTTAGACAATCATAGAAAAGTTGAATATGATAGCGTTTCTCTATACTCTTGGTGCAATCATCAAACTAAGAAATTAATATGAGTACAACACTTACACGTGTCCTGTACAAATTGGTACCCCAAGCACCTACCATGCCATATTAAAATGATTTTGTCTGTAGGTTCAGGAGGCAATGATCCCCTCCAGGTTCAGGACTTGGCCCTGATTCACTTCCTCACAGCAGCGCTGGGTGCCGTGCTGAGCAAGTGCTTGCTGAGTCAATGCTGGGACGGCAGAGAGGTCTAGCGAAGGCTGGGCCCTGAGATCTGTCCTCTTGGCAGTAGGATGATGCTTCTCTAATAGCAAGAGAAAAATTAGGGGTGATGATATGGCATATTTTAAACTAAAAATTAAAGCATCTGCTATGGTATAGATAACAGTTCGATCCTCAGTTTCATGTGGCGGAATTTGGTCCCCAGTGTAAGGTAGGAGGGGGTGAGATCTAAGAGGTAAGGCCTGCTTGGTGTTGAGATCATGGAGCTCTGCCCTACGAACGCCTCAGTGCTGTCTGGGGAGACAGTGAGTTCCAGCTCCTCCGAGAAGGGTCCGGTGCCCCCGAGAGCAGGTTAGAAAGGCAGACGGCTGCCCCAGACCTCTCTCTGTACCTGCTCCTGACCCTCCTGTTGCTTCTGTGCCCCGTGTCGCGATGTAGCAGCCGAGGCTGGCCGGATGCCAGCTCACCTACCCCTTGGCTTTTCCAGCCGCCAGAACTGTAGGCCAAATAAGTCTCTATTCTTCATTAATCACCCAGTCTCAGGCACTCTGTTAGCAATAGCACGATGGTCTAAGGCAGCGTAATCCTTCGCGGTATTTACACGGGGAGTGGCTCCCCACGCAGCCCCCATGCTTGGTATTCACGCGGCAGCTGAGGTCCCCAGCACGTTATTTTCAGCACGACGAAAGTTCTCAGGACAGGCTGTTACTTATGTACTTTTGAATAGCTCCACGCGTCCTGAATGAAATCATTACGTTAAACAGGAACCAAAAAAGCTCCTGAAGTAGGAGCATTGGGAATTCCCAGGGCCCGAGTTGCGTTCAGTCCTGGGAGGCGACATGCGCGTGTCTGTCCCTGGCAACTGAGGCTTGTGCCAGGCTGCTCTCTTGGACGAGCCCAGAGAGAAAACCTTCCCATTCAGGGCGAACTATTTCCAATTAACTGATGGAAAGATATGGAATCGAGGGACAATAGCCCCTTTGTTTGCTGTTGCCCTAAGAGACAAAGGGCCCCTGATGGGGCTGCATGAGGAGATTCCGTCATTTGAGACGTCTCCTGGCTCCCAGTACAGGTGTGTGTGTGTGTGTGTGTGTGTGTGTGTGTGTGTAGCTTCTCCCAGTCTTGGCTGTTCTAGAGGATGGAGGGAACTGGCCACCAGGAGGTCAGACGTGTCACCTGCCCACAGGTGTTTGGGGAGGGGCACACCACATCCGGGGGTGCTGTCGGCCATGTTTGTGGACAGCTGCTCGCAGATGGAAGTGCTGGTCTGAGAACACGGTGACCATTTTCTGAAGGTTCTCGAGGGGCATCTCTGCGTACTTTGCCCCAAGGCCCCACTGAGCTGCTGCACCCAGGGCTCCGCTCCCCTAAACACACAGAGAGCCCCATGAGGGCAAAGGCATCGGTCATGTGGATCGAAATCCGAGTCCTTGGAAATGGGGCTCTGACTGCAGTTGACCCACTTGCCTCTGAGAAATCAAAGGCACTGTGAGCAGCTCATGGGTTTCTGGTCTCCTTTAATGGGAGGCAGTGTCTGTCCCTGGCAACTGAGGCTTGTGCCAGGCTGCTCTCTTGGACGAGCCCAGAGAGAAAACCTTCCCATTCAGGGCGAACTATTTCCAATTAACTGATGGAAAGATATGGAATCGAGGGACAATAGCCCCTTTGTTTGCTGTTGCCCTAAGAGACAAAGGGCCCCTGATGGGGCTGCATGAGGAGATTCCGTCATTTGAGACGTCTCCTGGCTCCCAGTACAGGTGTGTGTGTGTGTGTGTGTGTGTGTGTGTGTGTGTAGCTTCTCCCAGTCTTGGCTGTTCTAGAGGATGGAGGGAACTGGCCACCAGGAGGTCAGACGTGTCACCTGCCCACAGGTGTTTGGGGAGGGGCACACCACATCCGGGGGTGCTGTCGGCCATGTTTGTGGACAGCTGCTCGCAGATGGAAGTGCTGGTCTGAGAACACGGTGACCATTTTCTGAAGGTTCTCGAGGGGCATCTCTGCGTACTTTGCCCCAAGGCCCCACTGAGCTGCTGCACCCAGGGCTCCGCTCCCCTAAACACACAGAGAGCCCCATGAGGGCAAAGGCATCGGTCATGTGGATCGAAATCCGAGTCCTTGGAAATGGGGCTCTGACTGCAGTTGACCCACTTGCCTCTGAGAAATCAAAGGCACTGTGAGCAGCTCATGGGTTTCTGGTCTCCTTTAATGGGAGGCAGTGAGGCTCAACCCCGGGGAGGCCATGCAGAGAGTGGGAGCTATGACCCAAAAGCAGAGATAGCCTCCACTGCTCAGCTCTACACAGACAGGCAGAGTCTGCCCAACGCTCTCTTTCCATTGGTCATTTTTTTTTCATTAATTCTATTTTTTAGAGCAATTGTAAATTTATAGAAAAATTGAGCAGAAAATACGGAGTTCTCGAGCTGCCCCCACCCCGAAGCCTAGTGGTTAAAGGAAGCGGAGCCCACATGGCTGAGGTGTGTGCTGCTGGATCGTGGGGAAAGAGAATGTCTAGCTGGGGCCTGCAGGTGCTGTGGTAGTTAAGGCGCTGGCCTCCGACGTGGCCACCGTGATTGGAGTCCCAGACCTGGCGGCTTCCTTTCTCACTTTCCCCTCTCTCTCACTCTGGTGAGTACATATGCCCTGTCTCTCACACACACACACACACACACACACACACACACAAAGATAAGTAAAATCAAATGAATAATTCTTAAAACAAACAAAACCTGCCACGCTGTCTTCCCGAGACAGGCCGTGCCTTTTCGTTCCAACCAGCAGTGGACAAGGCTCCCGTGGCTCCCAGCCTTGCCAGCACTGCTGCGTCGGCGTTCTGGGTTCTGGTCGGGCTACTTGGTGCACGGTGGGATCTCACCGTGTCCGTCAGCAGTTAGCCCTAATGACACGCACAGGCATCTTGCCACCCGTGTGTACCTTAGCTGTGCCACTACTCCCACCCGGTGGGCCTAATGAAAATGCTTCTCATTAAAAGCAAAAAGAATTGGCTTACCGTTAGAGGACAGATGTTTCTAGACTGACTGGGCCACACAGGTTCCTAACTCATCTTTCGATGCTGAACGGCATTTCCCTTTTTTTTTTTTTTTTTGAGAGGTTTTCGCTATAGGGCACGTGCGCTCACCAAACAGACAGATAGAGACAGAGAGACAGAAAGCGAGAAATCACCCCCAGGGGGGATGGCCACGCCGCAATCCCTTCTCCTCCATTCTTCTCTTGGGATCTTGGGCACGCATGCACACATGTTCGGCGTGAGTTTTAAGCCACCGGGTCCGGGACGTGAACCGCGGTCGACTACATGGGAGTCCAGCAAACATAGCTATTACACCAACTGCTGGTCCCAGCAGCATTTCCTTTTTGAGAAGCTTTCAGGTTAAAGGGCACGAGCAGGGCTAAAACCAACCAGGAATAGTCGACGTCCTCCAGAGGAGGTGAGCTGGGGTCCGAGGCTCCCCAGCCACATGGAGCCTTGGAGAGCAGCCTTTGGTGCCCTGCAGCAGCTGGGCCCCGCCCCGGCTGCCCGAGAGTCCTAGCGACTGCCCGGCCCTGCCTCCCACACGCGTACTTCAGAGGCCATCAGCTCGACTTTAAGAAAGGAAATCATTATGTCTTTGCAAGAGCTAGCTAGATTTTAGTTCTGTTAAACTGAAGTCAAATTTTTGTCTGTACTTTCTCCAGTAATTCTCCACACATCTTTTTTTTTTTAATTTATTGTTTATTGCTCTCTTGAAGGTGGGGGGCAGGGGTCAGTTAGAAAGACAGACAGACAAGCACCTTCAACAGGGCCTCGTGCCTCAACTCTCCCCCGCGCCTTTCCCAGTCGGCTAGACTCTCAGGCACGCTGCACCCTGCGTGTTCAGTCCATCAGGGAACTGAGCTCCCCGCTCCATGTGACTCTGGCTCAGAGTGTTGTCCTGCCGCTGGCTCAGCAGTCAGGCCACCGCAGGCTGCTCCTTCCCAGGAGGTAGGAATTATCATGTATTCTAAGGTGTGCTATGTGAACCTCGGCAAAGCGGCTCACGCCCCACCTGGTGTCTGCAGTCATGTTGGGTGGCAGGATCAGTGCAGACAGACAACCGCGGGGACAGCTATCATCTATGAGGTTGGCGCCACAGCCAGCAGCTCCCACGCCCAGCTCAGCCCACGCAGTTTCAATCTCTAGCTTGACATTGCCCACTGGGACCTTCTGCTCTGAGACATGCCATCTTAAGGAAGCAGCTGCCTTAGGACTGTAAGAGGCACTGGGGTCGCTCAAAGAGCCTTAACAGGGCCTGCGGGACCAGCGAGGGCAGCCCTGTCTCTGAGTCCTTCCCAACTAGCACTTCAGTGATGTCCTTCCTTAAGCAGTAGGGGACAGGGTCTCCACACTCGTAATATTTCCCTTTAACATTTCCGGAAATCCAGGTCGGATTCTTCCTAAATCCACCCAAACCTGTGGCTCTCACCCTGAGCTTGATTCTCTTCTCGCTAACCCTGGCCAAGATGAGTCAGATCCTCCTAGGAGGCCAGATGGGAAGTGAGGAGTCTGTTAATGTTGTCTGGAGTTGGTCTCTGGCCCAAGGCCCCTTCATTTACCATGGTGTTCACTCAGTCCTGAGAAGCACCTCCAGCTTTCTGAGTGCCTCTCTCAGAACACAGAAGGCTGGCAGTCTCAGTCATCCTTTTTAAACCGACTCCTGTCTGTAGGTATCAAAGAGCTCATTTCCCAGTGTACCCCATGAAGCAATCTGGGTTCCAGCATCTCCCTGCAGGGAATGCAAAGTGAGGGAGGTCCTAGAAAAGGAGTGCCTTAGGCAGGCCCCTAGCAGGACTGCAGAGACATGGTCCTGGGAAGACGGGTGCCAGCTCCCCGTTTCCGTGTGGGGAACAGCACCTCTGCTGGGCCAGCACAGACACGCCCACCCCACATCCTCAGCTTCCTGCTCCAGACCCACCTCCCACTCTCCCGCTCGCCCCATCCGGGGACTGGCTTGTTCCCTCAGTGTGGGGACATCCCACCTTTCCACTTTCAGTGGGAGAGAGGGCCCACCACCCCTCCCGAACTCAGGGGAATGGTGTATAACTCTTCGCATTCTGCTCCATAGACAGACACCTGTTCATTTGTCAACAGGCTAGGTAGAATGCTAAATGCTGAGAAATACACTGCTCCACTAGAGAGACAGTCAGTTAAAACTGTCTGTGGGGCTAGAGGGTGGCATGGTGGTTAGGGCACTGGACTTCCAAGTGGCTGATGGTGGTTTGAGTCCAGACCTGGCAGCTTGCTTTTTCACTTTCCCTCTCTTGCTCTGTCTTTCTCTGGTGAGTGCACATTCCCTATAGTAAATTGAAAAATAGTAACAAATAAAATTAGATAATTTTTTTTTAAAAAGAGCCAGAAATTGAAGAAGTAAAAAACGAACTTTTCATCTGTATTGCATCTGACAGAAGTTTGTATAAGGGAAATATGAAGACGTGGAAATACTGCCCTTGAACTCGGTCAGCAGTGATATAAACGACTTCCTCACTCTGTTTTCTTCAGTGGGAAGCAGAGATTATAAAAAGTAAGTAAATAAAGCCCGGGAAAGTAGCAGTCTGCTTCCAACAGTTGTAAGACTGGCCCGCAGCTGATCGATGGCATTAATTAGATTCTCTCGCTCTGGGGAGAATGTTCCAGAAGTTCAGAAACCCTCTCTAGCTGACTTAGCAGTTTCTTTTGATAGTCCGGGTTTTGAAATGACCTCACACAGTGAGGGTGAGGTGCTAGGGACCCTGCAGCTGTGGGGTTAGAGCAGACAGAAGGTGGGCTTGGAATACATGGAATCTTCAAAAAGTTCACCAAAATGCGTGTCACGAGAAAAGAACTAGGTGTGGATTTCAATTTTATTTTGCCCCCAAATAAACTTGTATTCAAGTTTTCCATGAACTTTTTGAAGTTCCCACTTATAAGTGATCTCATTCTTTGTGAGGTAAAACTGATGTCTCGATACATGGGTATTTGTCTTGAACGTCTGGAAGTTGTTTTCTGTCCCTTCGGTGTGGTTTGCAAACAAAGCAACTCCATTATCACCTTACCTGCGGCTGCATGACAGACGAGCTTAGAGACGCAGAGGGGCCGGAGGGGTCTCGCGGGGTCACCCTGCCCTGGCTCAGCTGGCCCTCACTCAGGGCCCCACCGGCTGCAGTAAAGGTGTCACTGGGCCCTGGTCTTGTCAGGGTTCCTGGGGGAAGGGTCTGCTTCCTCACCCAAGGGGCTGCTGGCAGCATGCTGCCCTGCGGTGCAGCTCTGAGGGCCTCAGTGTCTTGCTGGAGGTCGGCTGGGGACTGCCCTGGTCTTCCTATGTGCCCTTACCCAGGGACTCCTGTCAGGAGGCATGGCCTCTCCACACCGGTGGGGGAGCAGCCCCTCCCATGATGGGCATGCAGTGTCGTCCTTGCCATGACGGGAAGGCTGAGAGGCTGCGAGGCCAGGAGCAGGGGCCGCAGGGTCAGCACAGATTCAATGTGCTACCAGAATGCATCATTTGGAGCCAGCTGGTGGCGTGATGGTGAAGGCAGCAGGATCCCACATGGGCGAATGTGCAGTTCAAGCCCTGGCCTCGGAAACTTAAGAGACATCCTGGGTGTGTGTGTGTGCGTGTGTGTGCACGTGTTCCAAGATCCTAAGAGGAGAAACGGAGAAGGGATTGTGGCATGGCCATCCCTCTGGAGGGTGCTTTCTCACTGTCCCTCTGTCTCTCTGGTGAGTGCACATGCTCTACAACAAAAATAAACAAAAACAAGAGCTGAAGCTATGAGGTCAGGGCCGGGGGCAGACCTCCGGGCTGAGGATAATATGATTGCCCAAACTCCAAGAGCGAAGAAGTGTCAACGTAGCGAACAGGCACCGGAGACCAACGAAGACAGCTGGAGTCTTAACTGTGACTTTATTCATCTCCTTGGTTAAATTAACACAATTTAGCAGGCTCAGCTTTAGGGACTCCACCACAGGGAGATACGGAGGAACGGAAGACAGAGCAGGACTCCTCCCCCCGGCCTTCAGTCAGCGCGGTGCGACCCCGCGGCAGCGCGCACAGGCAGTGTGACCCAAGCGGTGTCTGCACACGGGCAGCTCTGGGGGAAGAGGCACCACGGCAGGTGAGGTTCACAGCGTGTGCAGCTTGGGGTCCGACCGCGCCCTTCTCCTTCCAGAACACCGGGCCTCCTTCGACCCAGGGGAGCTCAAACTTGTGAGTTCTCCTGAGGAGACCCAGAGCATCTATTGCCTGAGGGCTTCTGGCAATTATTTGGTCAGAAAAAGGACCAAAGTTCCCTTAATAAAATTTTTCTGCAAAATATTATTTTATATTAAAGGAAGCAGATACATCATGAAAAATGCCCTGCGCCGATTCTCATGAGACTAGAATTGAGTCTCATGAGAAACTCCAAGACCCGTGGATAACAGAGGACACAGTCTGTGAAAACTGGGGGTGGGGGTGACGGTGCCCAGCGGGGGGTGGGGGTGACG